TGACACCATTTTTGAAAGGCCTTGAATACTAGACAGAAGAGTTTGAATTTTATGTAGTAGGCAGTTAGTAGATATTGAAAATGGTTAGGCAGGGAGTAATATGGCTAGATAAATGTATTAGGAAATCTATCCTGGAATCTCTGTAAAGGATGAATAGGAGTGGGACAGGTAGACTGGAAGGAGAAGACCTTTCAGGAGGTTATAATTATTGTATTTGTTGATGAGGGCCTATACTAGAGTGGTTGCAATGGGAGAAGACAGAAGAGAACTGATATATGAGATGACATAGTTATGGAATCATTTGGACTTAAGGGATTCCTGAATGTTGACTGTTATTTTTTGGATAACCTGAAAAGATACAGGGTAGATCCATGGTTGCTAAAGTGAGGGCTATGCTATGACCCCAAGGGTGTAATAGCTAATTATGTAGCTTGTCTTGAGCATAATCATACCTACCTTCCCCAATGTAGCCCACTACTCCACTCAGACCCTTCCTGCATCTGTTCAGGCATCTAATTTTCTTAGCCAAGCATCAACCCTTTTGAGTAATTATAACCTAACCTTGAATACAGCAGTTGCATGGGTGCCAACAAGAAAAATCTTCTCCCTATCCCACCACCTCAGGATGTCCATCAAGAAAAATAATGTACTGAGAGAATGCATGATCAAAAAAGTTTGGACACTGCCAGGCTAAATGATAGTACAGGTAAGCAGATTGGCAACATCCTGACTAACAGGGGCAAAGAACATTCATTAATGGTTCAATGGCAACTTGTAAGAAAGTCTCTAGAGTAGGAAGTCTGGGGACCTGTCCTAGGTCCTGCTCTATTAAACATTTTTATCAGTGACTCACATAAAGGTATGAGTGTCATATTTATCATATTTCAGTTTACACATTAAGGAGGGAAAACTAACAGTCTGGATGGCAAAGTTAATATATAAAAGAATTTTAACTAAAACATTGGACCTATTTGATTTTATTTGTTTATTTGGATCTCTGATTTCTTCAGTGTGGGTGTTGGGTAGTGTGGAAACACTCTTCACTGCTGCAGATAAACAGCTTATCTAACATAAAGAGATTCTTGAAGTCTTGAGAGGCCCAGTGTTTTGATCATGATCACAACTAGTACACATTAAATATCAGAGGCAGAACCTGAATTTAGGCTTCCCTGGCTCCAAAGTAAGACCACTACTTACCATGATAAGGACGAATCTAATAAAATGAAATTTATTTTAGCCTTAACCTTCTTTTCCAAAAATCAACTTCACAGGTACAAGAAGCCTAGGAGGAGAGGGAGGGGGAGGGAGAGAAAATGGGATATGGTTAGTTAACAATTTATCTGACAAAGGGCTGAGGGTCTGATGATGGATTGAAACTCAATATGAATCAACAGTGGGATGTGGCAGAGAAAAAAAATGATATTCAATTTTAGGCTACATTGAAAGAAGCAGAGTGTCCATGACTAGGGAGGTGGTAATTCCACTATATTCTTCCCTGGTGACTTAATACACACTTGAGGAAGTTCAGAATACTAAAGTCCTATATGAGGAAAGGTGACAAGGGAAAAGAATGATAATTGTCTTCAAGTATTTGAAAAATTGTCACATGAAAGAGAAATAATACTTTGTTGCTTTGTCTCAGAGATCAGAAGCAGGAGCAAAGTGTGGCTGTTTGAGAGAGGTAGATTTAGGCCTGAGATAAAATATTTCTAACAATTATAACTGTGCAAAGGAAAAAAAAACAGTGCTCTGTATTGGACAGGACACAGATTTTGCCTTCCCCACACTTTAGATGGTTTCACCTAATCTCTCTTAGTCTTAATTTCATGTTCTATAATATGTAGAGGCTTAAATCTACCTCTTAGGTGCTTTCCTGCCCTAAATCTATGATCACATAAAACTGGAATGACTTGGAAAAATAGAGAATCCCCCTTTAATATATGTCTATGGAAAAGAACATTGTTATATAGGTATATTATAGAGAAGATTATATCTCAGATATGAGTTGGCTAGGTGGCTTCTGAGGTCTAGCTTTGAGATTCACTTTGTAAAACATCCCTGTTGTTCCTATAATGAATCTATAAATGTTCAAAAGTCAAGAAGTCCATAATTTCATCAGAGCCTTATTGTAGATACTAAAAAACATTGAGAATGTAGTGATTGGGAAGTGGTAGTCACTGTGGTAAGGGATTAATAAAGTTGCATCCTCAGGATCGGTTTACCTGCTTTGAAAGAAATATTCATGGGGCAGCTGAGAGCTCCCTGTGCCTTTGCTGCTGTTCATTAGAGGGTCATGATTGCCATCAATTTAATTCTAAGGTTGATAAATTTCCCTTCTGTTTCAGTTTTTAGTATGAAATTGATTAATAGAAGTATAGTGTGTTTGAAACAGAAGAGGAAATAGTTTCATTGTTCTCTGTGTAGTCAGAGCCTATCTGGTCTGGAGGGTAGAACTGAAAGCTGTAAGTAGAAGGTTTAGAGAACTAAATCTCAAGTCCATACAAGAAAAATCTCTTTTATATATTAAGATGCTCAGAAATGAAAGGGCATCAAGAGGTGATAGATCCCCTATATCTAGGGGCATTCACGATGAGAATGAATAATCATATATGTGTCAGTGATATTGTAGAAAGGATTCTGGTTCAGGTATAAGTTGGACTATGTGAAGTCTTTTCTTCCTCCAATATTTTATGATTATATGATTAAGACAAGTGACAAATAAGGAAGGATCAAAAATCAAACTTAGATTTACAGACACTGAAGATTACAGAATGCTGGTACTACTGCCAGAAATAATGCAGTAAGAAGAAAATGTACATTTAGAGGAAAGGATAAAAAACATTTTAAATTTCAGTTAATGGTGAGACATCCAAGTGTAGATGCCTTAAAGAAAGTTGAAGGTGCTCATGTGAATGACAAAAGAGTGGTCAGGATAAGGGGACACATTGTTAGTTGTTTGTTTTTTATTTGTTATTATTGTTATATATATTGTATTTATTTGATAGTTGTTTATTTGTTTGTCCCATAAAGGTGGAAGTTGAAGCCATGGGAATGAATGAGATTTCTGGGGAAAGAATGTAGAAGAGAAAAGAAGGAAACTAACTTAAAAAGAATAACCTTGTAATGCCTGCATTAAACAGAATAAGGAAGATTATAATAGAGAGAGAGAGAAATTGGTAGTTAGTATTCCAGCTGAATAAGTGGTGAAGTATATTCAAAACCAAGGAAGATAAACACACCTAGTAGAGGATATGGCTAATAGTCTGAAATATACAGAGATGAGGATGGAGAGAGAGAGAGAGAGAGAGAGAGAGAGAGAGAGAGAGAGAGAGAGAGAGAGAGAGAGAGAGAGAGAGAGAGAGAGAAATGGGGGAAGAGAGAGAGAGGGAGGAGGGGAGAGAGGGAGAGAGGAACAAGGAGTAGAATGGTAGGCAAGGAGAGGGGGAAGAAGGAAGAAATGGAAGGAGGGGAAGAAGGAGAGAAAAGGAACAGAGGAAGATGCATTTGTTGATCTAGATGACATATGATGAAAGGGTGGTTCCAGGAAGAAATTGAATGTGTAATATCTTTATCTAGTGTTTCACAAGATTTCTAAAGGAGGGAAAAAGGAGAAGGAAGATGGATGAAGCAGGAGAGAAAGAAAGATATAAAGCTGGGTGGCTTTACCCTGTTTTCTACCATATAACTTTGTTTTGTTTGGCTTTAAAAAAAAACCTGAAAATTACTTTACCTATAATATATATTATTTGGAAATTCATTTTTAATTTATTGTGATAAGTTGGTTTTAGAAGAATATTTGGATGGGAATATATTTTATGTTATATTTACTGTAATATTCAGGCACACCACAGTATAATAGCATTTTGATGTTTAAATTTTGATGAAGAAATCCACAGGAACAAAAGCTAAATTAAAGTTAAATTAAATGGTTATTTTTTATGTGAAAGAGATACCGCAGTGATACAATACAAGCCTGTTGAAAGCAGTAACTGAAAACTAATTCTCTAAGTTTGGAGAATTGAATCTTCAATACTCCAGGTAATATTAATACTACTCAGTCACTGGAAATTGGATTATTCTTGAGATAGCATTTAAGTCATGGCAAGATGGTCTTCTATTTACAAATGTAATTTAGTCTCATGAGAAAGTAATCTTGTTAAAATATTGTCAGGTTAATTGAAATTGATTCGTGTTTACTAAACATAGTGAATACTAATCAAATATTAGGCACAGGCGCTATGGAGGTACAGTTAAGTCTTTGATAGATTACTGTGCCTGTTACAAGGAATGAGTCATTTTTTCCCCAGGGGTCAACACTTAATTATAGTCTTTCCCCCTAAAAACAATAAAAGAAAATAAGGAGAAACGATGTGCAATGCCTTTTGTGGAGTGCTGCAATTTGTAATATCTGAGACAGTTGAGATTTGGGGGGCTAATTTATGTTTTTATTTCCATTGCTTACAAACAACACATTTGCTTTTCCATCTGTTTAATTACATTCCAGGTTTGCTGTTCTCTACCACTCATGGCAACATTGAGCTCCACATAAAAAAGGAGCTATAATAGCTTTTATATGAAACAAACATTGCTGTGCAATTTTTTAAAAAAGCAGGTTGAATACAAAGCTGAGTAGTTTATATGCCCTGGCATGGTAAATGTGCCAGCATCAGAAGTCAATGTCTGATAAGCCCTTTGTGGTCTCTGGTGGTGTATGTGTACCACTCATACATAGTTTAAAGAATATTTCTCCAAATACAGAAACAAACCCCACATAATCATTTACTTGGGAGGCTATTTTACAGTTGTTAGTTAACCTGCTCCCTCGTGCCCAGCAATATTCATTAGCAGTTTTCTCTCTTTATGAGTGATATTTTATGAAAATGATTATAGAAGCTACCAGATGTAACCACTGCAATGAATTAAAATGAAAAGTTCTGTTTTTTACAGATGGCTCCATTGGATGTGTTTCCTTCCTTTAACATTCAGTTTTCTTTCAACAGAAAACTTTTCTTTACTGACTATGGGAATGTTGCCAAAGTGGAGAGATGTGACATGGACGGGATGAACAGGACGAGGATAGTCGATTCAAAGACAGAGCAGCCAGCTGCCCTGGCACTGGATCTGGTCAGCAAATTGGTTTACTGGGTAGATCTTTATTTGGACTATGTTGAAGTAGTGGACTACCAAGGGAAAAACAGACATACTATAATCCAAGGCGTACAAGTAAGTATACTATTTATTGGAGGATGCAATGCGTGCAATAAAATGGAATGATATCATTATATGACTCTGACCAACATGTGTAATGATGTAGATTTCTTCTGTGGTCAAGTAGAAGTGGGTGATAAAAATTCCTGGTACATTTACTGTCAAAGAGAATTTTCATTTTTATATTGCTTCTTAAATGTATTAGGTTCATCTCTCCCAACCCCCCAAATTCAATAATAACTACAGGTATTTGAAGAGGAAAAATGTTATGACCTACTTACTAAAAACTAATTTAAGTAGTTCATTCATCAGGAACTGAACTATCAGCTGTCCCATGTGGTATCAGGATATTTCACTAACAAAGGCAAATCTTTCTCATAAAAGTATATTTATCATTTTAATAGGTTGGATTAAATCTGGCCTTCACCTCTATTCAACAACTCTGAACACAGAGAATAAAAACCACGTGAAAGTCTCTGAGGTCAAAAGATCCTTTGGGATCTTTCTTTTTTCATGATGAATTACAAGTTTATGTGCATAATTCTCACTAATCACCAAGGGTAGATCTGTAAAAGGAAATAAATCTCTTTATTCACTATAGGATTTTGAAACCTAATATTTCCAATCACCAGTTGTCCTAATATCATAAAATAAGATATATTCTTCTTATTTTCATGTGTTTTGAATCTCTACAGGCTGTCATAATGCAAAGCAAGCGTATTTGAAAATCCTTAACAGAAAATCCTGACCTCATTTCTAGTGACCTTTTTGCAAAGTCTTATGTTCATTCCTTGAATGTTTTACTGTGATTGGAAAGGATTGACATTTTTATGATGCTTAGGGATGGCTTGCTGTTTCTTGACTATTCTAATTCCTACCTAATGGATGAATCTCCTCTAGATCAGGAGTTCTATGGACTGTGAACATATACATACATACATACATACATACATACATACATACACATACATACACACAGTTTTTGTACGTATATATGTATAACTTTTTCAATATAAGTTATATGTTTTGTGATCCTGTGTTTTACTTTACACATTTAATAACGATTCTGAAAAGAGGTCTGTTTATAGGCTTCACCAGACTACCAAAGTGGTCCATAACACAGACAAATGTTAAGAACATTGTTTAAGGAGGCATTCAGCCTTTGCTTAAATACTTTCAGTGAAGGGGAGCTCCCTATCTGTCAGGGCATCCTGTTCTATTGTCAGACATCTCCCTTTGACAGGAAGTTCTTCCCTACAATGAACACTTATCAGCCTGTTTGTGTCTATGTCCTCTCAACTACTGGCTCTCTCTCACTTCATTGCTGTGTATGAATGTATGCCTGGATGCATAATGAATTGCCTGTCACTCAAAGTTGTCCCATGTTGGCCAGCAGAGAAGCATACATTCTAAGTGTAAAGAGCAGAACTCTCAGAGGAATTCAAGCATTACCATATGGACATATTCTCTGAGTTCTACACCATACTCCCCTTTCTGTTCATGTTTCCTCTCTGGAAGTTTTACAGAGAAAACCACACAGTTCCCTTGTGTAGGGAGAAAAAAATAGTCTCTTTCAGCCTTGAGGAACTGATCACAGGAAATTTAAGTCAATGAATAATATAGGTTTTTTATTTTTTAAATCACTCTCATTAATATATTACTTTAATATTTATAAACTACTTTACCCTAAAAAAAAGCTCCATGAGGTAATTGATAATTGATAGCATTTAGAACTCAGAGCAGCTTTAGAGATCATTATTCTAACATTCACATTTTATAGAGGAGAACACTGAGGCTCATAAAAAGCGATTTGCACATATTATATAGCTAATAAGTGCTAGAGTTGGGATGTCACATTTACTAGTCTATAATAGTGGATTACATATACCTATAAGGCTCTAGGCTTCCTGTGTGATCTTAGGCAAAACATATAAAGTCTCTGAGCTTCAATTTCCTCATCCATGAAATGAAGGGTTGGGCTAGTGGATTTCCAATTTCCTTTCCAGCTCTGAAGTTATATAATTCTATGCTTTAGAGATATATGATCAACACTGTTTTCCTCCATACGGACAAATAAGCTGTAAATTCTTTGGATTTTTCATGGGGAAAAATCATCTTATCCAATCCTCAACCTTCATTCACATCTTATTTCCACATAATAAACAGAGATGTGGCCTAACTTTGGCTTTCCCTGGAAGTCCAGTGTCAGAAAAGTTCATGAAAACATAGAGGCAGCTGGTGTCACAGGAGATAGACTACTTGGCCTGGATCAGGAAGACTTGAATTCAAAGGCACAGGCTGTGTGATCCTAGGAAAGTCACTTAACTTCTGTTTGCCTCAGTTCCCCAACTGCAAAATAAGAGTAAATAAGAGTACCTACCTCACAGGGTTATCCTGAAGATCAAACAAGAGAATGTTTGTAAAAGCTTTTACTACAGATCCTGGTGCATAGTAGACATTATTCATTCCTCCCTTCCCCTTCCTCCCCAATATGTTTCAGATAGTCCTTGCAGCCACCTAAAGAGATAAAACTATTATACCCACATAAGCCTGCCTGTAAATGATAAAATACAACTCTTTTCACAGAAATAGCATTGAACAACAAGTCTCATTACAAATTAATATTGTGTTGTGGTAATCACTAATAAAACCATATTCATATAATTCATATATATACATGTTGGAACACACACACATACATACATACATACAAATATATATATATATATATAATATTGGAATTTAGGTGATGATACATGATGGCATTTCCATTTTCTTTATATGAATTGTGACTCTAAAGTCATGGGACCAATCTCAAATCATCAGTCCCATGACCTTACAGTCGCACTTCAGTAGTACGCATACAAATTCAAGCAAGAATAAAAATAAGTCACATACAAGAAGGGGATACATTCTGCTTAAGTGATTCTGGTTAAACTAAAAATTCAACATTCCACACCATTTATCACTTGATACTTGTATTTTTTCTAAAACAAACTTTAACACCTAACCCAACCTATTGTCTCCATTTATTTTGAGTGTAATTTTCAATCTTTGATTATGTGTGCTGTTTAAGAATGTAAAGTTTAATGTCACAACTGCATGTAGATCGGAATTGTCTTAGTAACTCGGTGGCCAGTACTAACCTTAACACCTCGTGGACCACACCCCTTTTCAATGATGCGTGTGATCATTGAACAGGAAGTGCATGGGAATAGTAACTGCATACCATGCATGACTGTCATATAATGGTGAGAGTAGAGAATCATTCTTCTTGCTTCTCTCCATGGCTTCATGAGACCCTGCTGTTCCTCTACATGAGAAAGTTGAATTGTTGGATTAACTGCTGCTATATAAAAATACATTGTCTTTATTCTTTAAACAAAGGGTTTTAGCTCTCTATTGTGAAAAATCTTTCAAAATAATGTAATTTCTGGTAAAGTGTTGATCTTCAGCCTTCCATTTATTGCAAATATGTGTTTGCCTCTAAACTTATTTTCTACTGTATTGCCAGAATTATTCAAAATGTAATTTTGATTTAGATGTGGGTGAGATATTTAATATAATGAGATAGTTAATAAGTTCTCATTTCTTTGCATCAAGGGGGAAAAAAAAACCAAATACTGTTCCCTAGAACTTCAAGTAAACTATTCTATTCAAAAGGTTGTAATTAACAAAAATATCTTGTTCTGTATTAAATCATGAGAATATAGACTCATTCCTTCATTCCTTTCAGAAACTAACAACTCATCATAACATTTTTAATGAAACATGAATGAAGGTACTCATATATATTTCAGTTTACTTTGTAAGTGTGACTTTCTTATGTTGTCATTTCGAGAACAATTTTTATAAATCTTACATTGTTTTCCTTGAAGTGAGTCTCTTCCATAGGAAATAGAAGAAATGCATAGAAAGCAGTGTCTTTCAAATGGAAAATTCAGATACTCAAATGTATCTCTAATCTTCCAGATTTAGAAATTCCATCCAGTGATGAAGATTGCAATCCATCCATACCTTCCTATTCTATAAGATTATTGTCCATTTCATGCTATACCTTTACTACAGGGGATATTATACTCAACATCTTGGAGTCTTTCTTCACTTTGTCTTGACATTGCAGGGTTATCACTAAAGCGCTTTAACTATCCACTGATCAGAAGTAAGGATTATGAAAAAAATCATCACCAAAATTCACATTTTTTTCCTCCCGCTTTGTAGGTCAGACATCTTTATGGTATTACTGTATTTGAAAATTATTTATATGCAACCAACCTAGATAACTTCAACATCATACGAATAAACAGATTTAATGGTACTGATGTGCAAGCATTAGTTAAAAAGGAAAACGCCAGAGCAATCCGCATTTATCAAAAGAGAACACAGTCAACAGGTAAGATTCACCCCACCTCAATCCTCTTTGTAGCCTTAATCTCTGTGGAATACGCTGAAGCTATAGTTCTACACTTTTTGTATAGGTCTAAAGTAGCTGAGTAATAAATCTTCTTGGCTGTGGCAAAGTGTATTTGTCTGTTTGACAAAATGGTGTAGACCTCCTGTCATAAGTCTAAATGACAAATCTTTTAGATCCTAGTGACTCTTTCCTATAAGCACAGGATGGAATTGATGGTTAGATTTAGATTTGGGAAGGAATTCCCCATCATGATGTATGTAGACAGGAAACACAGGTGCTGAGAGGCTCTATTTGTGTCATTTTGTATGAGGCACACAGGTTAAAGAAAGGTGGGTGTTGTTGCAAAAACTATTTCTGGGCCGTCTGGCTACAGATGGATTCTTCTATCTTTGCATTCCTAGTATGCTAAAAACAAGCTTTGAGAAATTAATATAATTTGAAGATAGCATGTTTCTGTTTCTAAGCATTCATAAAAACACAAGCCAGCTAATACTTAATGTGTCCTAGTGATGTTTATTCAACGATATCATTTAGGATTCAAATATAGAGAAAGTAAACATACAATTACCATTACCCAAAGGTGTTAGTGGATATTTTTCATGTTGCAAATTAAAAATTATTGAAGAAGTGGAACCTTAAGTTCAAGCAAACATATACACAGTTGAGGGCTTACTAATTTTCACTTCAAGTTCAAGGTTAGCATCCTTTAAATCGTATGACAAACTTGAGAAGGCAGATTGAGACAAATTCTACTCTGGGGAAAAGGCAATGACAGCACTAAAAGGACATGTCTGAAGGTCAGTCAGCTGTCAACCCCAGGGATGTGGGAGATGGGAAGTATCAATCACAGTTTGAAGAAAAATAAATGGATTTAAATTGTCAATTACCAATTACATTTCCCAACAGCTGCTGATGCAAAGTAAAGATGATAGCAATAACAAATTAAGCCTTCCTGATGCAATTCATTGTCTATCCTATTCTTTCCATCTCTATTTTTCTGCAGTCATTTTTTTCTCTTTTAAAAACATCTTGCCCTTCCCATTTCCTTTTTTTCCTGATCAGTTCCCTATTTTTTTGTCCCTGCTTTTCTGGACCCTCCATTTTCATCCTTTTGCTCTATTCCCTAACCATTCAGCAGCCTTTCTGCAAAAATAACAGTATAAAGAAACACATTTCCGCTTTAGTAAGCATGGAATTCAATTTGGTACTTATTAATAAGAGAGGAAAAGAGGAGAAAGCACCCACTTCATTGCTAGTAGCTAGTATTTCCCCCCAGTGGGTATGCTCATACATGTAGATTTCCAAAGGTAGATGTTTCTAGTTTTTTCCCTTATCATCCTGGCTTGCCTACTTCACAAAGCTGTTGTCGCAATCCAATAATTGTAATCCAGTGGTACCTTCATCTTTTCAAAAGAAGATTTTCATAAAAACATCCCACAAGAGAAATATATTGCAAAATTATCTTCCAATGGCAATATAACCTATTTACTGTATGAGTGAATGTGCAAATTAATTCAATTTGAATTATTCTTAATCATCCAGTTCTAGAGGCCATTGGGTGGTACAATGGATAAAAGTGCTGAACTTAGAGTAAGGAGTGGATAAGAGTGCTGAACTTAGAGTAAGGAAGACTAGAATTCATACCCTGCTTCAGACACTTAGTAGGTGTATGACCCTAAATGTATGATATAACTTCTCCTAGCCACAGTTTTCTCATCTGTAAAGTGGGGATAATAATCATATATGCCCCGTAAGAGTGTTTTGAGGATCAAATGAGATAACATGTAAAGCCCTTAGCAAGCCTTAAAGTGCTACATAAATGTTAGCTTTTGTTATTAGTCTCAGGATTGTTTTAGAAATGTGAAGTTAAGAGACTTAAGTTCAATCACCTTTCTTCTTCCCATATTGTTTTCCATCTCTGACAAATTTGAATATTTCATGGCATAGTCTAATGTACAGGATTTTGCTAGGACTCACTCTTTTTTTTTTCATTGTAAAGTCTTCAACATGCTGATGCACATAATTGTCTTGTTTTGAGAGGATTTCAAGCATGCTGTTTTTCATTTGTTGTAGTCAGAAGCCATGCATGTGAAGTAGATCCATATGGAATGCCAGGGGGATGTTCGCACATCTGTCTGCTCAGCAGCAACTACAAAACACGGACTTGTCGTTGCAGGACGGGCTTCAACTTGGGAAGTGATGGCAGGTCATGCAAAAGTATGTTGTTAAACTCAAACACTTTGCCAGCAGCTAACATTTCAGAATAGGATTTTTTGAGTGTTAATTAGTATCATCATCATCCACAACAGTAATAATATGAGCCCTCATCAGGTAAAATTTGCCAACAAACATGCACCTGTCTTTTCTATCACAAAATGATATTTGTCTTCATCTTGTAATGGTGTCCTCAAGGTACAAGAAGCATGAGGGGCAGTATGGTGCATTTGAAAGGGTGCTGCACTTGGAGTCACACAACTTGATTTCATATAATGGCCCTACTATTTAGAATGGCCCTGTGTGACCATGGACACATCTCTTGACCTCTCGGCCTCAGTTTCCTCAATGTTCCTCATAAGGCTATTGGACAAGATGAGTTCTAAGGTCCCTTCCACATTTGTATCTATGATCTTAGAATAAATCACTGGACTTGATTAACCATGAGCTTATGCACCTCTGGCTAAATATTCTTTTAGAAAGATTCATTCATATAATAACCATTATTATTAACCATTTACTCTGTACCCAGAACTGTGCTAAGAACTGGAGAAGATAAAAATTAAAGTAAAAAATGATACCTATTCTTGTGCAATTTGTAAACTAGTATTAAAAGATAAGATATTCATACAGATATGATAAAAGTCAGAATATGATCCATACATAAGAGGAGCATAAAGTACTATGAGATTAAAGGAAAAAAAAAACAAAAAGAAGAAATCACTACCTGGTGTTTTGAGGGGAAAGAGAGGGGTATATATGTGTTGGATAAAGGGGAAGATCAAAGAAAACTTCATGAAGGAAATATCATTTGAATTCATCCTTGAAGAATGGGTAGAAAGTCCATAGATAGAAATTATCAATAGCATTTCAAGTATAAGGAAATCAATTCAATTCAACAAGCATTGATTTAGGTAACTGTGTGATATCCCTTGTAGAAAGAATGATGGATTTGGATTTGAAAGAATTTAGTTTGAGTCCTAGTTCTGTGCTTTACTGTATTTATGACCTTGGATAAAATGTTTAATCTCTCTAGGCCTCAGTTTCTTCATTTGTAAAATTATGGGCTGTATTAGATGACATTCATTGTCTACAGTTTGCTATAGTCTGAATTGGGTTGTTAATTGGCTTTATTTTTTATTCAATCCATAAACCAAGCAATTAAAAAAAACCATTTATTAAATGCCTACTATGTGACGGGCACTGTGCTAAGTATTTCAAGACCATATAATCTAATGGTAGAGACTCATTTATGGCAGAATGAGCTTCATACTAAGAAGTTAGGATATGCCCATTGAAATTCATGCTGGTCTTACATTTTACAGAATCACTGAATTTCAGAGTTAGAAAGGACCTCAATCCCCACCTAGTTCAATGGATACCTAAAAAAGAATTCCTACCTGAACATAACCGACATTCAGTCATTTAGTCTATTTGAAACCTCTAGTGAGGGAGGAAGCCATTACCTCCTGAAGCAGCCATTCTATCTTCAGATAGTTCTAATTATAAGGACTCACATTGAGCCTAAATTAACCTCCTTTCAAAATGGGACCTGAAGTAAGTGGAGTTTCCAGGCAACCTAACCTCACCTCTTTAAGTTTCATTAATATTCACATTAGCATGTGTAAAAGAACACTATGGGTAGCATCAGGTGATCAGGGTTAGAATCCCAGCCTTGATATTTACAAGCCAGTGACATCAGACAAGCCATTTCCCCTCTCATTTTACTAGAATGATCTATAAGGGCTTGGCAACTATCTATCCTAGAAATCTATGAATCTGTCATGGGTAAGTCAAGGAGTGGATTTTGAGGGTGAGCATTCCAGGGCAGCTAGGTGGTGGAATAGATAGAATACCAGGCCTGGAGTCAGGAATACTCCTCTTCCCAAGTTCAGTTCTGTCCTTAGACACTTACTAGTTATGTGATCTTGAGCAAGTCATACAATCCTCTTTGCCTTAATTTCCTCATCTGTAAAATGAGCTGGAAAAGGAAATGGCAAAGCACTCTAGCATGTCTGCAAGAAAACCCCAAATGGGGCACAAAGAGTTAGACATGACTGAAAATGACTCAACCACAAAAATTCCAGGTACAGGAAATTCAGTTTAACACATATTTATTTAGGAAAGAATATGATCCCCAGAAATATTCATTCCCTAATTTCCAGGTTCCTGAGCTTTTAGTAACATAAAGCTGTCACCATTATTTAGGTGACATTCATTGTCTGTAGTTTGCTGTAGTCTGAGTTGGGTTGTTGATTGACTTTATTTTTTATTCAATCAATAAACCAAGCAATCAAAAAAATATTTATTAAATGCCTACTATGTGACAGGCACCGTGCTCCTTGGAGGCAGCTTCTTTTTTTTTTCATTTTGTCTTTACATCTCCAGATCAAGCAAAGCACTTGCACGTAGTAGGTACTTAATGAATGCTTGAACTGAACTGAGTTGTTTATCACAATATGAGCACAAATACCATGAATATGATAATTTATGATTCCAAGATGTTTTTATTTTTATCACGTGGCTTTCAAAAACTTCAGCCATTAAAATATTCTAAAATGCATTACACCCATTCCTGCCTGTTTAAACAGAATATGCTGAACATAATTTAACCTTTTTCTTTGTGACTCTGCCTCATCATTATGAACATGACCTAATTGTATTTTGCTGTAATGATGTCATCAGGGCCTATTGAATTGTGCAGGATGATTTGCTTTTATACTCAGTGGCCCCAGACTGTTATATATTTTACTTGCACTTAAATTTAGCATTTTTTTCCTTTGTTATCAGACTGAGTTGTCAATTCTAGCGTCTGTTAGTACACCTGCCTCTCATTTGCTGCTTCCAATATGCTCTGAATTGGGGGGAAAAAAACAGACAATTAAGATTGTTAGAATTCTTTCTAAAATGAGAGTAAACATGCTCAGAATGACGGAGTAAGGGAATATCCTATATGCAAAATCATAAGCTTTTGATTATACATAGTCTTTGCTCTCTTTATGTTAAATATTCAGAGACCATTTTTGCTTACTTTCTGGTTTTTAACTATGTTCTAATCCATTGTGGATAGGACCTCAGATAAGTAAGGCATTGGCCTTTGTTAATTTATCGTCATGATAATATCCCATAATAATGGTGACTTTAGATTTAAGCTAAAGAGAGTATTTTCTGAAACATGGCTGAGATAATTTTGTTACTCTGCTCTTTTGAGCTTTTTAATATCTTATTTTTGGAGATTCAGAGCAAACTTTTTGGATGAGTTCTTTAATTTCTCTTTCAGTTCATTTACTGACCATTTTCTTAGGTATCTAACCACCAGATATCACAATTCTTCCCTTCTCTTAACTATAGTTTAAACAATACTGATGGTTTCCTGAAAGAAATCTCTTGACATTTCCCTCCAGACTTTTTTAAGAGACTGAGGAGATCTTTAGATAAGAATCTCAGTTTCACCTGACTCCAGTGAACTCTTTGTACTCTCAATTTCCAGACACATTACAATGATATTGTTTTCCTCTTCTACAGGTTAAAAGATCACTAGACATTTCCTCTGACACCATACAGAATTAATCCAGGCTAAGGCACTTGAGGACTCAGGCAAATTTTTAAGTTTGTTCTCCTCTTTTTACCATAGAGAGGTTTGAATTTGCCACAGAAATATTTGTCGTGTAGGGAAAGTCATCTTAGTTCATCCTTGTAAAAAAGAAGGATTTAAACATTTTTGCTTGCTTTTTGTGATTGTCTTTGTAATAGCTTTAATGGACTTCTGAGTCTTCCAGTAGATGGAAATAGCTTTTGGGGTTCAAATTAAGAAATAAAAAGAAAGCTAGAGTGTTACTGGCATTTTGATTTTGGATCTTGGAAGTACAAATTATGTTTGGACACTCAATTATATTCATGTATGAGGAAGTGATAGCAAGTGATTCCTTTTATTTCCCCTGACAGTGGGTAGATGAAAAGTCTTCATAGCATGTTTTGAATTTTCTGAAGTTTCCGGCATTGTCAGATATAATGAATGCCATAGTCAGTGTCCAAAGAGAGCTTTAGATAGATTCTAATGAGTTGTAAAATTGAATGCACAGAATGTTTTTATAAATGTCCATTTCACAGGGCTATACATTATCCAATGATCTGTCATGTTTTCAAAACAGACAGTTACAGACAAAAGAATAATTAACTAGATATAACCTATTCACAGAAGTAATTTCTATTTTAATTAAAGTAATGCAATTAGCCAGCCTTTTTACATTGAGATACATTTGGCATATTTTAGAGTTTAATTTTTGGTATTGAATTTTTTTAAACACTACTAATTGTGCCAGTTAATTAAAAATGTCATTATGCAGAGGAAAGAAGATTAGGCAGCACCAGTTGTTTATGTCTGTAATCTTTCTTCAACAGGACCGAAGAATGAGTTGTTTCTCTTTTATGGGAAAGGACGCCCAGGAATTGTTCGGGGAATGGACTTGAATACCAAGATAGCTGATGAATACATGATCCCCATAGAAAATCTGGTCAATCCACGTGCTCTGGATTTCCATGCTGAAGCCAATTATATCTACTTTGCTGACACCACCAGCTTCCTAATTGGTCGGCAAAAAATAGATGGGACAGAACGTGAAACCATTCTGAAAGATGGTAGGTGGCTTGCCATACTGGGTGCATCAACCATAGCTGAAGTCAGAGGCTTTCCTGAAGGAATAAATACAACTTATGTCACAAATCAGCTTCACCTACCACTCAAGCCTACTTGGTGCTTAGAAAATGTTTGAATGGTTTTTGTTTTCCTCTCTCATTTAACTTCTCTAGCCTTCCAACCTTCATTTAAAAATTTCTATAATTTTCAGTAGCATATTAAATGGTAATACTATTTATGATATGATTCATATTTTGAAATATTATTTAGAAGAAGTTAGGGATATTTGTAAAAAATCTGGCCTTGACCTTTACTAGCTGTGTGAACCAGACAGGATATCAAGTCTGTTTTCCTTGGTTTCCTTATCTATAAGCTGAAGAAAATAAAGTAAAATCAGTTTAACATACATGTAAAGGGTTTTGCAAAATTCAAAGAGCCAAATAAATACTATTATTATCATTATACTTGTACTACCTCACAAGGTTGTTGTCAGAAACATGCTTTATAACCCTTAAAGATTTGTATAATTGTAGGTTATCATTTATTTGTTGACACTGGAGAGTCACTGAAGGTTATTAAGTAGGAAAGTGCCATGATTGAAGCTGTGCATTAGGGATACTACTCTCACAGGAATATACAGGATGATGAGAGAAGACAGAGACGGGAGAAACATAAATGAGAATTAATTAGAACCTATACGAGACAGGTTGCCCTAAGAATGGAAGATTAGAAACATGAATGTCAGAGAGATGAAATAAATAAGATTTGGTAACTGATTGGTTTAAAAGGAGTGAGGGACAGGTAGGATTTTTAAAAAAATAACTGTTTTCTATCCAGAGTTACCATGGGAATGGTGATACTATCAGCAAGAAATAGGCAAATGCATGATGGAAAGTTGTTGAGTTCAGCTTTAGATATGTTGATTTTTCAATGCCAGTGTAATATTTCTGTGGAGATGTGTATCAGTCAGTTGGAAATATATAGAGATAGGCCATGGCTAAAGATGAAGATTTGTAGTCAACTGCATAGTAGTCATAATGTAGTGGGAGTGGATGAGATCACTAAGGAAATGAGTATAAGGAAAAAAGAAAAAGGAGAGCTTTGAGAGAGGACTACATGAAGACAGTAGAACACCAGCAGTAACAAGAACAGGAGACAGAGAAACAACAATTATTGAAGTATAAGGAGAATGAGAAGATGATGTCACAGATGCTGAGAAAGTGCAGAGCACCAAAAAAGGAGTGAATGGTCAGTGCTATTAAATGCTAAGGTACAGTCAAAAAGCATGAGGAATGGGGAAAAGCTGAGGAAGTCACTGGTGCTTTTCAAGAGAAAAGTTTTACTGAAATTTGGGTGACAGAAAGTAGATCATGTGGAGTTCACATTCATGTGAAGATGTGGAAAAGCAAATGGTAACTGAGGGGAGTCACAAACTTGTGACATGGTTTTCATTTCATAGGATCCCAGATTTAGAGCTGGATATTAGCCAACTTAAACTCTTCTTTTTTATATTGTTTTGCTGTGGATATAGAAGACCTGAAAGGGAATGACCAAAGAAGTAAGGTCATAAAAAGATAGAAATTGATGGAATCAAGAGCACAGGAGGAGGGTTTAGCCTTGGCAAGGAAAGAGCCATATCATCTTCTGAGATAAGAAAATAGAAGATGAATCTAGATGATGGTTGGTAAGGCAGGACATGAATTTATCTGCTAAGAGAGATGAAGAAATGAGGTGTCAGCTGAGTGTTTGGAAATAAGACAGTGTTTAAAACATTTCTATTGAGAAGAATGACAGCAGGTTGATCAAAGTTTTGTGAAAGGACTTTCACTTTGAAGGAATAGCTGAGTGAGATAAGGTTGCATGGTGATTCAAGAGTTGGAGAAGAGAAAACAGAAAGAGGGAGCTCTCAAGAGTTAGGTACTATTATGGCAGGAAAGACTGAATGGTGAGGAATTCAGGGGTTCACTAAGGGTGTCGTTAAATTATATGGTCATTGGAAAATGAAACCAGAACAGTGATGATGAACTAAGAGATTAAGGAAAGGCAAGAGATTGTGATGAGGGGAAAGAGTAATACTGATAATATGATAAAAGGCATGTTCTTACTGAGGATATAGTAGAGAGCAAAGGAGGAAGTTGTCATCAAAATTCAAGATCTAGGAATTAGGGCAGCTCAGAATTTCGTGAGATCTGCTATCTAAGAATCAGTTCAGAGAGGCTAGCACCAAACTGGCCATAAGTTGGAGACTGAGAGGCAGCATGGTGCAGGACAGGCAGGTATTTACAAATCTGGAAGAAATAGGTTCAAAACCTAGACTAGCCGGGACGCTTAACTTCTTTGAACCTCATTTTTCTCATCTGTCAAATAAAGGTGTAGATGTTATGGCTTTTAAGGTTCCTTATAGTTATTTGTAAATAGTTGAATTTAGCCCAAATATATTCAAGGTATTTGAAGATATATTAATTACTATTCTAGTTTATCTCCCCTTCCCCCCCAATCGAAGTGTGACAGCTTTTAAACCCTGACTTCATGTTTCAGCTAATTATCACAACTTTGACTACAGTGGTGTCTTATCAGTAGGATGAGTGGTGCAAAGTACCCCAGAACAGGAATCAGAGATCCATTTGAATAGCCAACTGACTGCCAAACAGAGCTGAATAAGGTCGATGTGTCAGTTTGAAGGGTTGTGAAAGCACTGGCAGATTTTCACACCTAAAATGCATTCAACCTCTTACTATTTCTTTAGCAGGGGACATCTTAATGCCTTTTTATTCTAGCTGCCAAATAGAACAGGTTTTCTATTGCTTTTCTCACCTGTAAGGAAACCAGCGATCTCAATTAAGACAGAAACAAAAAAATCTGAATAGACATTTGCCTGTGATGAATGACAATTTTTCATGACTAAGATCAAGCATTTCCAATTCTGTCTAGAATCAGGGCACAAACCTGCTGCACCTACTTATTCTTTAGGACACTGGGGCTGAGTATGAAAGCCATACCCTCCCTGCTGATGGAAAAGGTTTGGTTTAAATGCAAGCCTGGTCACAGACACTTTGCCTTGGTTGTAGTTACTTTGGTCCCTGACCACTTTTCCCCATTTCATAATGACTTTCAACATGGACCTCTTGACTTTCTGAAACATATTATCACTCTACTTTACTCTTTTTTCTTGGTTCTCCAGTCGGCTCTTAGAATTTAATGCCTTTTTTTACCACATCTTTGTATGAATCACACTCACCCATAAGATATAGATATGTGCCTCCCATCCCAACCAGCACTTCCTAACTGTAGGCAATCAATTTACCTGTCCTAGGATAGGTCACTAATTCTGTAGTTTAACTGAACCTTTGTCACCCTCCCTGGGCTCCAGAAAATTGCCCAGTAATGCAAGGAATCTTATCACTTTCCCCAAAGCCTAAATTTAACCTTGTAAGGCTAAGTTGTTTCATAGAAGAAGCAATAATTGTTTTATTCATTCTTTTTTGTTAGGGGTTCTACCATGTACCACAGGTAATATCCTATTTTTGGCAAGTGATACCTTAGGCTAGGGATTCTTTTAGTAAACTGGTGAAGCCTATGGACCTATTTTCAGAATAACATTTTTCAGGTGCACAACATAAAATGTGTAAGGTTAAAAAGAAAACAATTATATTTAAATATAATAATCAAAGCTTCTCAAAACAAGTTCATGGGCCCCAGGTTAAGAAATACTACCTTAGATTTTAGGGAAATTTTGTGCCAGTAAAAATTTGAACATTTGAGATAGGGATTGTTATGGAAAATTAGAATCTGCTTATCTGTCCTAAAGTACCATCGATTAAGGAAAATTAAGAGAAGAGAACACACATGGGACTGGAAATTAAGGGTTGGGGAGAGAAGGGAAAAGATCCCTTCAAGCCATGATACTATGGATACAAAGAGTTGTCTGTGATTTATCATACCAAGATAATTCCATAATCCCTGTTCTTTTAACATTTGATTATACTAGCCTGTGTCACCCAATAACAGTGCTCTCTTTTCTTCCATGTGCCACAGTGAATTAAGGGGCCCAGTAGCAAATGGGAAACAGAGGTTCATTCCTTGGTCAAGCTGAGGTAGATGTGGGTGTAAATATGGAGTCCCTCATGGGGGAGAAGTCACACAAGTCACCAGTGAATGATATTTTTTTTTGTTTTTGTTCTTTTTGTAAAGTATCTGTCTGAGATAGCTTTCTTTTGTGGGAATGGTGTAGTAATCCCATTTTCTCTTTGATCTGCTGAATATACTCCATTATGGGTATGTACTGATACCATTACCATGTTTAGAAGTTGAGGACATGGTTCTGTAGGATAGCATTGTAGTGCTTGTAGTGCAAAGGACACTGGATTTGGAATGGAGAGAACAAAATTCAAATCTGGGTTCAGACACTTAGAATTTATGTGGTGCTAAACAAATAATTTGACTCCACTGGACCTCAGTTTCCTCATCTGTAAGAGAGTGACAATGATCATTTTAATGTCTACCTCATAGGATAGTTGTGAGGAAGAACCTGGGAAATCTTATAGGTCAATATAAATGTAAGTTATTATAATGTTGTTAGGTTGTGTAATGTTCTCTTCTCAGGCCCATATCTCTGTCATTCTGCAGTTATAGGTCTTAGAGGCACCACCACTCTATGAATCTCTACCAGATAAGAATTCTGTGAAACTCTGATCAAAGTGGGTCCATCACAAGAATTTCTGGAACAGAAAGTTAACACATAATAAACAGGGTAATTCTAGCTATTAAGGCACAGGGCTAATCATCAGAGTAGTGGGGGTCCACTGTCTCTCTTCTGGCTTCTGGGAAAGTTTCTTAATATACAGTTTTCAGGAAGATAGGTAAGCCCATTCTCTGCATGTAAGGGCTCCTTGTGGGGATAAAAATTACAGCTGACTTCCCTTATATTCTCTTTGGTTTCCTGGTAGTTATATTTCAAGCTATTGTAGGAAACCTCTAACTCCCCCAGGTATTCTTGAACTGT